AAAACATATGTAAATAAATAAATAACAGACATCTGAGACAAGCGTGGCATGCAGGTAGTGGCCATGGATGGCTGGTGTTTTGGAGGATGGGGGGAGAGCTTTGGGCCCTGTTGCCCCGCAGCATCTTTCCAAGGCACTCCCGCTGTGGCGTGACATGGGCTTGGGATTAAGCTATGATATGTTGTTGCGACGGAGGGATCAGGGACAACCCTAATAATTTATTAAATATTTATTAATATATAATTTATTACTATTATTAATAATATCATTACTATTACTTGCATCCTTCACTGTCCTCCACCCTTTCCCAATCTTAATGAAATCCTTATTATTATTATTATTGTTGTTATAGTTATCTTTGTCATCATTATCACTTACAATACTTGTCTCCTCTAGTCTTGTCATTTTTTTTTGTAGTTATACTTGTTATATCTGTTATAAATCTTTTAGATACTCAATGATTTGTATGCTTCCTCCCACACACTTACATACAATGACATGCACACACATACAGGAGTTATCAGAATGATCTTGAAATGTTAGCTATCTGGATATATGTTTGTTTGTCCAAGTGATTATTTATTTGGCACTTGTAAATATTGTCACATTCCTTACTTGTATAATAAAAAAAGAAAAAAAAGAAATGTAAATTAAAATTAAAATACAAATAAAACTAATTTAAAATACTACTAAATACTAGAATAGTACACTATATATATATATACATACATACATACACACACACACACACATACACAAATAAAATATAGTATTAATAATTTATAATAATATAGTATTAATAAACACAATCTAAGTCATTTATATGACCTCAGGAATATAAAATATGTACAGTCATCTGGACTAATTTTTTGTGTTTTTATTTATAGATATCATTTTATATAGATTTTTTTAATTATTAGTTATTTATAGACAACAACAATACATTTTAATATTTTATAATTAGTTTATTTTTTCAATTACTGTTAAAAAGGTAAAATGACATGCAAGAAAAAAATTTAACTATAACAAAATGGGCTGAACCTTCCATTTAAGATTATTATTATAAATTTTTAGAAACTATGAGACTTTGCTACCAGTGACTAGAGCTAATGTTTTATAGCTAATATAGCGATGGCCTTTGAGCCAGAGGTGACAGGCTGATATATGTGTGATGAGCGATGATAGCTTCAGATGACAGGAGGACGACTGCCGAGAGATTTTCCTTTAAATTATCAGCCTCTTAAAAATGTTTATCCCATGTAAACTTATTCTAATGTGACCTAAATGGAACCACAAGATTGTTTGCAGCAACATCTAATTATTACGTATAAGGTGACTTTTTTGTTGTTGTTGAAACAAGCTAAGAAACACCTGCTACTGAGGCTCAGCAGATTCATAGTGTGAGACAGTGCTAAGTTGCTGCTGACTTCGACACCTTTAGCTGCCGCAGATCAAGGCTTCCTCCATAGAAAGTGAATACGACTGCAAGGCACTGCGCCAGTTTTCGGGGTTTTATGGTCACCGGTTTTAGCAGGGTGTCAGTTGAGTCTGATGACCATGTTTTTGCTGATATGAGACCATGGCATGAAGCAAGGGGGTGAAACCTGAGATTGGAGATCCGGAAGGTTGGATGGTATCTTCTGCATGCTCTGTTCCTCTTCTGACTCTTTCCGGATTATGATTACAGGCCTTGATTAAGACTTGCCCTTTTTAGTTGCAGACACCGTCTGTTGTCGAGCTGCGGTCGGATCTGCTGGAAGGAAGCCTTGAAGTGTGTCCTGCTCAACATGAAAGCATTGGTTTGAGAGTGAATGAACTTCAAAGCAAATCTTCTTGGTCATTTTACTGGAGGTTTACATTCCTCTCAATTCTCAGTCAAAAGCTTAATTTTGAGGCTAAATTTTGATTTTAAAGTGTTTTTGTAATGTAAATGGCTCCTCCTGATATTTTCTTTTCTTTACCTGTACAAAAATATGATACTTAAAGGTACATTCAGTCATTTTTATGTTGCACTATGCTGTAGTCTTTGGCTTTAGTGGCACCTAGTGGTGTGGATGAAGCATTTAAAAATGCATAATTTTAAATAAATTAAAAGTTATTTATGTCTTAAGCAGTAAAATTTAGTGGGGAAAAGTGATACATTTATTTGAGTGACAAACTTACAAAATAAAGCTGCTTGAATGCTCTGTGCAAAATTCAGTGAAATTGAACATGTAAATATCATTCCTCAACGATTCCTAAATCGGAACGGCCATAAATCATGTAGTATCTGATACTGTAGCTGGTATGTTGACGAACGCAATACAAGTGAACATTGTGTGCATCATGTCTCAATCGTCTCAGTACACAGACACAGATGTTTTACCCACAGATGCAGCTGAAACTGTATCCAGCCCCACGAGTATCCCTCTGGACTGCCAGGAACAGCTAGTATTAATAGCCCTCCAGCACGTTCTGAAGAACTGTATCGAAAAAAACATGCCCTATTACATGCCATTTGTCTTTAGTCTGCATTCAGATCAATCAATAATAAGTTTTAATGAAAAGCTATAAAATATCGATCTATAAGTGGAGTGCTCCTTTGGCTGATTCAAGCATTTATAACAGGCAAACAGGTGAGAAGGAAAGTGGTTAGGAAAGCTCTTTTAGACTTTGTTTAGAATGACAATAAATAGTTTGATTGTGACTGGATCTGGAATCTTCTAAAATTGTGGTCACATTAGCAAAATTTTACAGGCAAAAAAAAGTCCATTGTCTACTGTCAATAGTGTAGCAATGTATGATGCATAGTTCACACAGACTTCACTTCCCTTCCAAGCAGTCAACACGGCAAATTAATGAACCAGTTGCAAAATCTGCACAGGGAAATCCTTTACCCACGCGCAAAATTCTTGATCATATGGATTCTTCAGAAATTGAACTGCAGGTATTTAATGCAATGATAGACACAGGTGAACTTATTTTCCTGATTAAGTTGTTTAAAAATTGTAATTTTGTTCTCTTCAGTGTCAAATTTCCTTGTATATACTTCCTCTACACTACTACATGTGATTCAAGTCGCTTTATATTCTCTATCTGAGTAACTTACTTAAATCACTAGCTTCCCTATAAGCATTAGAAGCATATAGTGTAGTGAAGACCCCTTACAAATCATGGTTACCCTTTTAAAAGCTTCATGTGGTGCCCTCTAGTGAAACATCACACTATCTGTGTGCACTCTGATATATTGGAATATATTGTGTATATTGTATACATTTGTGCATTCATTTCATTGTATAACACTGCTTTAGCATGTCCACGAGAGGGGAAAAAAATAAAATAAGCAATAAATGTTACAAAGAACTCAAGAGTTTATTTCTTCTCCAGTGGAGACTATTCAGAGGAAAGCAGGAAAGAGTTTACCAGACATGTACATCCAGTGCAGATACAAATGTTTGATAAACAAACATCCAGTCACATTCAGCACGATATTCACTTAAGTCTCAGAGTAGCTGGACTCCAATTTACAGTGGTTGTTCCTCTGCAAAGTCTAAACACAGCTGTTGGGTGGCTGTAACAAATGTGATTGTGACAACCGTGTGTTACAACCAACTAAACAGATATTTGACTGAAACGTAAAACAACTTGAATAGGGAAATACACTGAGTGAAATAATACAACAACACCCCTCCATGCTATAACCAACAACTTCCAGGAAACAATAATCATATTCTGCATGAAGAATGTGTTATAATTCAAAATAGAAGAATAAAATGTTTTAACAAGGCATTTAAAATCCATGATTTTCCATCTTTTTCAACATTCACCACAAGCAAAAAAGGCTAATTTTCATGCCCCCATTGGTCCAAGGATCAAAATAGCCTTTTGTGGAACACAAATGTCTGTAAACAGAACTGTTCTGGGGCAGAAACAGAGCGCAAACAACAGTACACATTTATTTGGCAAATGACAATCATTGGTGGTCAATTTTTCCACTTTAAGTGTCAATAATTACTGGAATTTGTTTTTAGAAGTGAATGTTAAAAGATGAAATTAATAAAACCAAGGTGCACTATTCATACGTTTCATAAATATATACTTCTACACAGACAATATTAGCATCATGTTTATTCTAACTAAATGGTCTTCTACTATATAAGTGGTATTTAGAAAGCCAAAAAGTGCTATTTCGTAAACTTGGTAAACAGCATCCAAGGAGTCCAGAGTCTAACCCCAACAGACACATACTGACTCAAAATTATTTGAAGAAAGAAAAATTTAAAGTGTCAAATGACTCTAAAGAACAAAATCAAATAAGGCAGAATAAGGCAGGTGAGAAAAAAGGCTTAAAATGGAGAGAACAAATAAAAAAAGCAACTGTCTAAGTGCAATTTAGCACAGCACATTTTGAAATGCATAAAAATGAGAAAACCAAGAAAAAGTGTTGGGGACAAACTACAAAAAAAAAAAAAAAAAATCACGACGTACTGTATGACTCTTCTCTCTTAAGAAAGAAAAGACCTCCTTTAATCCAAAAGGAGCTATTAAACTCTGCATAGTCAAAAGTAAAAAAAAACAACCTTATGCATGAATGAGTAAAACAGTCTATTTGGAAGTAGAACTTTTATGTAGCATGTTCGTTTTGGAGTTCCCCTACACACGTTTGGAAAAATTAACATACTACACCCATTACAGAAATTAGTCTGTGGTTCCTTTAAAGTAATTACATCTTATTTTGGGATACACTATTAGTAAACTAAGACATTTATCTAACCAGTGCCAACATATTCAAAACGACATTAAATACTTCAATAATCTCAGGGCTCAATGACAAGGAATGAGAATATATTACCAAAACCAGCTAATCCCTGTTTAGTTTGAACAGTCCTTTATTTGTGCACATTCGTTTTATGGGTAAGACTGGTGATTTTTTGTGCTTTAATTATTAAATGACAATTCTGTCATTATTTATGCACCCTGACGTTGTTCCAAACCAGTATGAGTTTCTTTCTTCTGCAGAATACAAAAGATAATATTTTAAAAGCATGTCTGACTGTTTTTAGTCCATACAGTGAAAGCCAGTGGGGTCCACTGTTGATTTGAACCCCACTGACTTTCATTGAATGGCCAAAAAGAATTAAAAACTCTTCAAGAACATCTCTTTTGCATCTCGCTGAAGGAAGAAAGTCACACCGGTTTGGAACAACATGAGTGTGAATAAATGATCACAGAATTTTCATTTTTGGGTAAACTATCCCTTTAAACAACTGACTTTCATTGTAAGGAAAAGAGCAGCTTGCACATTCTGCCTAAATATCTCCTTTCGTGTTTTATGAGTTTAAAAAACAACATAAGGGAGAGTAAACCGCAAAATTAATTTTTTATGTGCACTACTCCTTTAAAATATGAGGTTGTATCTATGTGATAAGTTAACACAAGTACCACAAATACTGAAGAGAAAGTTGGCGCGCCCCAAAGAACAATGTGGCCGGCAGTTACGAGCTGCTTTGCGCATATGGATTTCTGTTGACTGTTGAGTTTGTTCCTTTCCCTCCTAAATCACTTCTAAAAGCTCTTAGCAACACTAAGTGCAGTGTTTCTTTGTGCAAGGCCAGCGGTGATGCAATTAAGTGAAAATGGTGGTAAGTTCAGAGACGGTTATATGGTCTGACTACACACAGATCACACAAAGCCCTCCATGAGACACAAAGGAGTACCAGCTCCTGTTCTGACACACAAGAAGCACAATGATCCCCTAACCTTATAAAACGAGACCCATCCTGGCAAACACTTGTGTAAGATTATGGTATGCTGTTTGAGAGAACATTATATAAAATACTCCTCCTAATACTCACGTAGAATCTAAAAGAGAATATGAAAAACAGTTTCTTTGCAGTTTCTCCATCGTTTTGGGTTGGAGATGGGGCAGACAACTTCTGGAAGCCATCGTCTCCATATAGGGGTATAGGATATGGCTGCCTTATGGACTACCTTATGTCATATGTTGATCCGGGTGAGACTATGTCTCTGGGTTTGTGACTGTCGTAGCTGCTGTGGAATTCATGATCTTCATGTACTGAGTGTGAATGGCATCGAAGGCCTCGTCCCGATGAATCATGGCACCAAACACTAGAGGCTGTGGAAGAGACAAGTGACGAAATTGTTAGTGTACATTCAAACAGATTTTGGTGCTGGATGGTGTCTGTCTGACATCAGAATTGGGTTTACCAGGTTAGCAGAAAAACTCAATCAGTTCAGTATGATTCACAGTTGGCATGAATATAATCCAGTTCCAGTAAGGATTCTATTGGCTGAAAGAACACATAAATGATACTCAGTTTGGTGCCTAATTAGGAATCCAGCAAAATCATTTTATGTCATCATAAATGTAACAATTACCATCTTTGATTATGTCTCATATCATATTATATAACTAATGCTATAAACGCAGTTCCTCATTCAGTTATTTCTGTTAGCGTGCAATCTAAAAAATGAGCCTATTTGCTTTTCCTTTAGCTACAGTGGTGAACAGCTGCTGCTAGTCCTCACTGAGGGACTGGTGCTGATGACACAAATGTACCTTGATTTGGAGCCATATAATAAAATGTGCAAAGAAACCTGGCAGGAAGAGGGGGTGGAATTGAACTCTGGTTCACAGCAAGTGTGAAAACGGCCTTGAAAAACTTAACATCCTAACATCAAGAGCCAGTAAATAATTATATCATAAAAGTCAGAATACAGAAAACAAAAAGTTACACGGGTAGCTTTTCTATTTTAATTAAGTAAATGAAACCTGTGTGCAAAAATACTCAAAGTCTTTAGTTTTTGCTAAGAAAAGTGATTAGAGTTGATAATTAAAAAGTGAAAGATTTTTACATTGTTACAAAAAATATAAAAAATACATTGTTTCAAATAAATGCTGCCCTTTTGAACACTGTAATCAAAGAATCCTGAAAGCGTATCACAGTTTACACAAAAGTATTAAGCAGCACAAAACTGATAATAATAAAAGTTTCTCAAGCAGCATATTTGAATGATTTCTGAAGGATCATGTGACACTGAAGACTGGTGTAATGACTGTTGAAAATTCAGATTACAATTACAAATCATAATAATTTCCCAATATTGCTGTTTTATCCAATTAATGAAGCTTTGATGAGCATAAATTCTTATATGTATATATATATATGTGTGTGTGTGTGTGTGTGTGTATATACACACACACACACGCTGTGACTTACCTTTAAAGTGGATGGCGTTGTAATTGAGATCCCCATCCCAGATCCAGGCAATACTGACAACACTTTGTACTGTTAACAAGAGTGGAGAATCCAGTAAGATACTAAGCATTTAATAAAAATAAGTCAACAAATATTAATAAAACATTTATAAAAGACCTTCTGAATATCTGTGATGTCTTGGAGCTTGATGACTTTATTTTTCTTTGAGGATGTCGCCCGGGAGCTGGAGCTCTCGAAACACAGGTAACTAAGAACACAAAACACATACTCTTATCATGAGGGAATGCGTTGTGCCTAACAATGCCAATAGGTCTTGTGCCTCAAGTAAGACAAAACATTTACACATTTGATTGGAGAAAATGCAATTGGTAAATATTGCCATTTAATGCAATGTTGCTGATTCTGAAAAAGCCCCAAAAACGAATAATTTGCAAAACAGCAAACAAAAAATACTGCTATTCTGGTGCATCTGAACATGCATACTTTTCTGTGGCATAGAGGACACCATTGCGGATGTAGTCGGTTGGCATTTTTCTGTCTCTGTTGATCAAGCAACATCTCCATCCATTCTCGCACACTGTGAATCAAATGACATATTCTTTTACAATTAAACAACAGCAAATACAAATGAAAATGTTCAAAGGCTAGCGCAGTTTCTCTTCCAACCTGGCAGGGGGCGCTCATTCTCTGACAAGCTGAAGACTTCATGAAAAGGACCTCTTTTGGTGTTGTAGGCCCGTCCGCTTTCCTCCTCACGGCCAATCCCACATGACATCCCAGCCGACTGATTACTGCGCGCCACCACCGGCTGGATCTGCTGTGAGAAACACGCGAAACGATTGATTTAGGAGCAGGATGTGCAAGTAAAGCCCCAGAACTGCAAGGTTCCTGTGTGCTGGTGAAGGATCAATGCCATCCTTTAACGCCTAACAAGATAAAGAACAGAATTGATCCTAGATCGGCACTTGAGGGCCCCAACAGCAGCACCCATGTGGGGGAAGCTTGTCAATCGTTATTAAACCAGTGTATGTTATTGAGCCAAGCAGCAGTGGTGACCTAGCAAAGTGAATGATGGTCAGTGGCTCAGCTGCATGTGGACTCCTGAGATCAGCTGGTGCCAGATTCAGTTCTCTGGGTTGGATGCCAAACAGTAGCAACTAGCAAGGGATGCCTGGAGGGTGCTGAGGACCAGTGCAAAGCTCAAAGCTGGAGTTAAACAGCCACTTATCATAGGTATTACCACTCACCAACACATTATCAAGATATGTGTTAGAAGTTTGGGGCTGAACAAGACAGATGCAATTTGAGAAAGATTTATGGGCATTTCTTCAACTATGGGCACTTTTAAAGGCACAATATGTAAGATTTTTTTTCTAGATTAAAATATCCAAAAACCACTAGAACAGTGTTAGTTAATAAATCATTAGCTCATCCATGAACATGATTTCTGCCCGAGTCCCGTCGGATTGCTTCGGCTGTGGGGATGAAGACCACAACTCCCATGATTCCACACTCAGTCACGACAGCATCAAACTACACCTTTGCCTCTTTGTTTATTTTGAATACGTGCCCTCTAGCAGCGAAAATTACATATTGTGCCTTTAACTCGTAGGAGTTGATTTTCCTCAAAATGAACAGAAGAACTTTTTGTTATACACTATAAAATTATTTAAAATTTAAATGAATAAATAATTTAAATTGTATTCACATTAAAATCTAGAAACTTTGCAATGTCATCATGATTTATTTGTTCTATATTCTTATTTCCTTATGAATAGATTTTATCGTTTTAAATAAATATAATAATAATAATTATTATTACTATTATATTAAAACTGATAACCATAACAAACAATAAAGATTAATATTTACTGTTGTTGTTGGAAGGCATTTTTATAATTTAAATTGAAATCCTTAATACATTATTATTATTATTATTATTATTATTGATAAACATATACATAAAGACTGAAATAAACCATTTTAACATCTAATTGTCTTACTAACATAAATTCTAATACTACTCATAATAATAATATAAAGAATGAAATAAAGCTATTTTTAACATCAATTGTGTGAAAACTTTATAACAATAAAAAAAATTATGTTAATCATGTATGTCTACTTTGTTAGTAGAAAAAATATATAAACTGCTATTTTCTAAATGTCCAGAAGACAAGTGGCCACAGTTGAAGAAACACCCTTATATTTGCAGAAAACTATTCTTCATCATGCATAGAGAGTACGTCTGCTAATACAACATCTGCAAAAAAAAAAAATACTGACTAACTAATACAACTTGACTAAAATGTAGCCTATTCAAGGCCAATGCTCAAACATAACAAAAAACCCGGATCCAACATTACTCAAACAACCATACTGAAAGTAAATATATGCATAAATCATTTAATTTCTATTCTAATTCATCTGATCCCAACTTAGGCAACTGTAAACTAGCTTAATTAAAAACGTCAATGTGGCAACACCAGAAGAGCCAAGCTTGTCAGTTTTCAGTTTCTAGCCACCTACTCAAGACATCTAGGCCTATATAATCATGCGGGAAAAAAAATCAGAAAGTCGTGTATGAATACAAAGTGATTATCGTTTCCTTTTAATACTCAACAAATGTCTCCATAAAGTGTCATTTGTTGCTAAAATTTGTAAAAGCTTGACTTCTCTGATGTAGTCACTGCTTCAAAATACTATTAGGCCTATTATACTACATTATACTATAGTATACTACAGCAGAGCAACTCTCAGATATAAACCCTGCATGTCCCACACACTCTACACTATCTACACTATCATCTGGTCTGATGACGATGGATCAAAAACATCTTGGTGTTTTTCTTTACATTCTTGTTGACTTTTTGTGCAAATTAGAGAGAAGATGCATTTTGAAATCAACAGTTTTTGATCCAATCGTCATTGTCATATTGCATATTCCTGACAACACACACACATACATAAACACACATACGCAGGACCAGCCATTGGTGGCAAACACATATAATATTATTTTACTATATATTCTTAATGCCATCTCGGCCACTCTTGAACAAGAGTTGTATCTTGGTTAAATGAAGGCTACTAACTACAAGAGGAAGTCACTGCTCATTTTCAGTCGTAACTGACGAGCTCCTCACAAAGACACAAAAAGAGGAATCAGGATTAATATTTTACAAGATTTTCAAATGGGAACAATGAGGCTGCACACACGCACAGTTTCACTCACCCGTCTGTTCAAGACAGACCATCACAAAAACCAAAAGCCTACAAATTATTAACCAAAAAAGGAATTAAATTTCCTCTGTTGCCTGAACTTGTTTAATAATCATGCAGACACCTTAATTCCTTGCTCTGTCCTCCATTTTGTTCATTTTTTAATAACTAACTATTAGTTATTAGTTTATTTCTTTTAAAATTTCATTTGGTATTATGTTTATATAATCTGAGATGCATGTTACTAGTACCAAGATAAAACTCTTATTCTACATAAAGACACCTAAAATTTTTTGCAAATAACAACAGATAAAAATTAGAGACTCGAGCCCCCCGCCCCAAAAAAGCTGAAAATGTCATTGTGCGTCAAACTGAATTTCTTACCAATCATGAAGCCCAAGAGTTTATATGGCAGCAAACAGGAGGTGATGAAGGCCACCCATAAACCAACATAAAGCTTCTGTGTGATTTCAGGCTGCACCCACATGAACAGGCTGCAATGAAAATACAATCATATATAAACACAGTACATATATACATGTAGTTAAACATCCTTTTAAGAGGGCAGTACTACCAAAATCTTATCAATATCATGAGTCATTTTATATTAATACATTTGAATTACATATACATAAACATTACAATCTATTTCATAATGCAGAGCACAAATTACGAGTATGGGTCACCATACTTGGCCACATGTCAATTCACTTTCTTTCACTTCTTTCTTATTTTCACAACAGTGAAAATAAAACCAAATTATTTTTACAAAAAAAAATCCTATTTATTTATTTATTTATTAATTCATTTATTTTTAAATAATTCAGTCAATTAAATAATTTAGAAAAGGATATGAAACTTCCTCTCATTTAATTTTTTTTATTTGGAACTTTAAATAAAAACGTTAAATAAAATAATGTAAAAATATAATCAAATAAAAATACTGTTAATACACAAGTAAAAAAAAAAGACTATTCTTTGTATTGAATTAAAAAAATCAGCTCAAAAAAAATCTGAACCGAACGACGTCTCAACCATCACACAGTCATACACTGTTATTCCACCTATCCCCACAACTCAATATCTAACATACTCACTTTTTAATCTTTTCCAATACGTCTGCCATCTTTCCAAATAGATTCTGTGAAGACACATCACTCGTGCGTCAAACAGCTTTATGTGTGAAGCAAAGCAAAAAGTGTCTGTATTACACTAATATCACAGCTAGATCAAGGCTACAAATCCCTTACCTGTGCTTTCTGTGCAACATCCAACACTAACTGAAACTTCTCTGAAACCGTAAGATCTTCCTTTGGAGGTTCCTAATAAAAAGAACAAAGCATCAAGGCTTTAATCAAGCAAATTTTAACAACTTACTAATGCTAAGCATTCGAAACGAGGCTTATATTTACCACTGGTTCGGAGACCTCAGGCACAATGCTCCACTGTATCCTCCAACCTCTGAAAATACAGACCAGAACAGTTTTAGTATGCATAATTCACAACCATTAAAGCAAAAAAAACAAAAACAAATTTGAAGCCCATATTTAAATTACAGGATATAAATGTAGCATTTACGTTTCTAAAAAGTTAATTTTAACATCTCTTTCTAAATTATTCGTTAACTGCATTTAAAAAATCCTTTTATGCTAAATAATAATTAAAGGGATATATAATTCTGGTTCAGATCCCATGTCATTCAACCAGCACATGGATTTGTGAACTAGTTGTGATTTGATCCAGTGATAGATTATGTCAGACGTACTTTGCTATAAGGTAATTCAAGGACAACCGTAGAATGGCTAAAAATAGAAACATGGGGATAACCCAGCCATGCCAGGCAGCATTCATATAGATCTGTGGAAAAGAGGAGAGAGAAGAAGACATTAAAATGATAGATGGCAAAACCATACAGAAACAAGTGGCGCCACTGGTCATCTACACTTTTGTATTTTATCACACTGACCTAATAAACATTAATATGTGTAGCCGATCACATTAACATATTAGTATAACCTGAGGCAGGGCTTTTTCCGAGTCTGGTGATGTACAGATAACAATGAGCTTGGCAACACGTTTTATTTGTTTTAATTATGGTAGTAAAACAGACACTTCGGACCGGGTGGTTACATAAACAGTGATGAATAGTGTTTGGGGGGTTTGTGTGGGTCGTGCTCACAATAAAGGCGATGGCTGACGTGTAGACAGAGTGCCAGCTGGATAAGGCAGAAAGGTTCCTCATGAAGTTAGTTACAGGCTTAGCACCCCGTTCTGAAAACACAAACACGCAACACACAGACCAGAACACAATCAGTTTTATGCCCGTGACACAGCAGAGGTGATGGGAATTAAAACACAGGCTAATTGGGTATTAAAATGGGACTGCAGTCGGTTAAAATATCTAGTGTTATGGCTTGGAGGGGTTTTTCTGGGATGCGGTATGAAAACACTCACTGAGTCGTCTCATATTTTCAGTTAATCTGCAAAGAGGAGAAAAGAAAATTATTTAATAAGATCCGTAGGGAGGGTGACATTATAAAGCCAGAAATAGCAAGGCAAGGCAAGTTTATTTATATAGCACATTTCATACACAATGGTAATTCAAAGTGCTTTACATAAAAGAAACAAATAATCACAACAATAAATAGCATGAAAATTGAGACTCTAAGCTGAGCTGACTACAGTAAAGACTTGAGGCTGAATGTCCTACCCATCTCAACATTACAACACTTTACTAAAATATACAATATAAAAGTATAAAAAACATAACAAAAAAGTCTGATTGAAAAATTGTTTTTAACACCCCAGCATCAAAATTGCATCTGGGTCATTGCTACTATGCAGTACATTTTCATGGTTCCATTATATACATCTGGAAACATGCTTTGGAAAAATATGAATGTCATGTTAGTTTTCTTTTCATAAAATCACAATTAACTGAATTAAAAATGATTAAATTCTCAAATTTAGTATTCCAAATGTTTTTTGTTTGTTTTTAATGTTTTAAACAAAACATGCTTACTGGAAATATGTTTACATTTTTTTTTATTAAATTGAATTAAATTTTTTTTTTTTTAAGTAAAAACAGCAGAAATAAATAATACATAAATTATATAAAATTATAATATTTCATTTTATTATATTGTAAAACAAAATGAACTGAAATATACATTTAATTAATCGTGTAATAGTGTGTAAATGACTAAGTTAGTAAGGGTTTTGGTATATTTAAAAAGGGTATGAGTCTGTCCATGGCTCATATTAAGTCATGGTTCAACGTTTTCATAGAAATAGCTCCTTAAAATACAACATAAATTACATAATTCAAAAGCACTAGCTAACTGGAATGACCCATCCATGGCTTGAACGGCTCTCTGTTCATCCTCCCCTCAAAACTTGTAATTATTAATCTAAACAAACCAAAGCAGGCTTGGCTTGGGCTGGTTACCTTTTAGCACTTAGTGGTTCCTCAGTCTCGACTGTATTTTCCTCTGGCTGAAAGCGGAAATCTTCGATATAAACACCAAAGCGCTCATAGAGCCATTTCCACAGCTGAGAGCTTAAGGTCTCCTTCTGTTTGTCCCCTATCAGAACACAAACAAAACAACACGTCACTGAAACAGATTCAAAATATGAGCATCTGCTACCTAAAATGGATGTAATATTGTCATAAATCAAATGTGCATTATCACAAATGGTAATCAGTGCAAAAATTGCACTAAAAAGAAACAAACTGCTCACAGAAAGTGACACTTCTAGTGCAGAGAGATATGTAGGTTTAAAGAATGGTGTCCAAATGAAAAGGAAGTCTGGTTTGGTCTTTTTTGGGGATGTTTAATCACAGGTAAAAAAATAAATATGAATGCTGTTGACAAAATAATAAGAGAATGATGACAAAATATCTGAAGCATGAATGAAAGCGATTTAGTCAAAAGCTAAAATCCTCTATCAATCAGCTGAAGTGATGGATAAACTATAACCATGTTCCTCAAATTAACTTTAGAATAAGGGCACTGGTTCTCATTCACTAATAAAGTGTTCTTACCCACACAGTATAAAACTGACACACAAAATTTCAGGCAGAACAGGTGCATTTGCCATTCAATTTGTTCTTCTCGTTCTAAAGTTGATGAATCCGGATTATTCTAAATGAACGACCGTGTGCCGCAGCTAGTAATTACACAACACACATCCTAACCATCTCTATGCAAGAACACGCACGCAGCAAGAGTAAAGCCAAATGTGTCAATCTCAAAACCAAATGAAACAAACACATCTCATTTAGGTCTAGACTACATGTGATCATGTTTTAGACCACTATGCAATATTACGCAAAAAAAAGGCTCCATTCTTTTGCAGATTCCATTGCAGATTATAATATAATGCATAATATTTTTGTTACTCAGAAATAAGACTTATTGTAGGGTCACCTAGTTATTAATTTTCTAATAATATTGTGTATATAAAAATCTATTCACCTTATGTAGCTTTCCTTTGCTAAATAGTCTACAGATATAAGTAATATGTTAGAGAATAAAAGAGATGACTGTGTTGAAAAAAACAACAACAACAAATGAATAATGAATAAGCCTGTAGGGGTCAAAACAACAACAGGCAAAAGTGAATAAGATAAAGTATTGATTTAGAGACCAAAATTTCCATATGAATGTGCAAGTAAGTGGGTCTCACGACTAGAGATCTATAGGGAGGATAAACTGAGATTTACCTGTACCATTGACAGAAGTGACTTGTGATTTTGGAGGTGGAGGTGGTGAATCTTCTAGTCTGGATCAAGCACACATATTGTTTTACTTGCATTATTAACTTAAACTGAACATATGTTTGTTAATGTAGAAAATGCAGTTGCGTGAAACTTTCATACTGTGGAAGACTATCACCTCTCATACCTGGATCTGAGAATTTCATTCATTTTCTGTTCGAGATCGACTCTTTTTGATTTCTCTTTCTCCAGTTCCTGCTTTAGGGTCTCAACATTTGTCTCCTCTCTGAGCTTCCTCAACTCCTCCTCTGTAATCAATACACAAAGAAAAAGTTTGTTCAACTGCGTGATTGAAAGACTGAAGACACAAATCAGCAGTGGTGTGGTTTCACTGGAAACATTCAGCATGCTTGATGTTTCTTTGCCACAGACATCAAATACACAAGTATAAGAAAGAGGAGTCAGCTGGTCGCTGTTGCATGATAAACCCTGACAGCACGATCAGTATCACCCTGTTCAGGTTTATTTTGCAATAATGACTTGCTAAATGTACTTTATATTGCTTAATATATGCCTCTGCACATAAACAAACAAACATGAAATATTGATTTAATATCTGTGAAAAGAGACTGCAGAGTGATAAAGACAGATGAAGCTAGCACTGCTAGTTTAGCACCATTATGCAAAATTATCTGACATCACAATGCAACTGACCAATCACAATCAGGTATTCCTGTAATAAGAGAGCTGTGTAATAAGACAAAATATAATCATATCATCATCTAGATACAAATAGAAAGTAAAATAGGCATTCATGATGATACAGATACAATACTGAATAATCGGCACATTTTTTCCCACATTTTCTGTGCTAGCTGTGGAGAAAATCCATGGGAATAAATAATATGGTAAAATGTGTTAAAACAAAAAAACAAAAAGCAAACAAAATTAAAACAAAAAAACAAAAAAACAACAACAACATCATAAACACCCCACAAAATCAAAACAAAAGAATAAATTAAAAAAACATACAAAACAACAAAAACAAACAAAACAAAAACAAAATTAAAAAAACATACAATAAATAAATAAATAAAAACAACATTAACAAAAAAACAAAACAAAAACTAAAGCAAAACTATTTAAAACTGCTGAAATCATTTTTAAATACTGTAAAAAGAATAAAATGCTCCTACTACCAAACAAATACTAGCCAGAGAGCATTTGTCAATCAGAAAACAAGGAGGCAGCCTCCTGCTACTTTTAATTTAATCAAAACCCTTTCAATATGCTGCTATATTAATAAAAAGCTAATGACTAAACATGCCAGTAACAGAGGTGTGTACCATTTTGCCAATGACAGAATTCAAATTCTGTGGAAACCCGTTGTGCTTTCTGTAGAATCCTGAATTTCTGAAGTCATCCTGAATCTCAAAGATGACACTAAATTAAGCGGTTTCACAGGACAGGACGCTCAACAGAGCAGCCAGAGGATCTGAAAGACAGCACAGGACAGTTCGTCCTTTATCGAACAAAAGGTAAAATATATTGTTACAGTCCTAAAAAAACACTTTCACAGCATGTTTTCTGAAAACACCTTTCTGCCTCTTGACTCAAAACAAACACAACAGTCCTGATCGAGTAGTTTTTCCACCTGCCCTCTATCGCATACAATACCTGCCTCAAGGTTGCCTGGAACACAAGCCCATCTTCATCTATAATTCAGTAGCTTCTGCGTCTCCCGCAGAGGCGCTATAGTCATGATAAAGACCCCCTGCTGCTGAACTCAAGGGCAGGTGTGCTAAAGAGAAGACATCTTAATCCAGATGATCAGTGCAGACCCCAGGGGCCATAGCTAAACTCAGAGCTAGCGGTCAACAAGCTGTTTCACAATGTTAAAACAATAGACTGAAATGAATATTTGTAGCCTAATCTAATATCTCAAATGATGCTTCACTTAACAGCCTGTTTAGAGGGTCAAGCAACGAGAAACAATGCAAATTAAAATATTTCCTGTTGTATGCCACAATTTTTAATAGTTTAATAATTTAAATGACTACAATATATATTGTGTGATAAGCTGTGTAATAAGAAAAAATACGATACTTCAGTTTATCTAAATGTAATGGAATAAGATGAAAATAAAGAAATTCATGACCATGCTTACATATAATCTGCACACTTTTTTCTATATTTTCTATGCCAATTGTGGGGGAAATTCATTAGAATAGACGTCATGGTAAAATGTGTTATACAACACACACACACACACACACACACACACACACACAAATCTAACAAAAAAAAATATTAAAATAAATAAAAAACAAAACGACAAAACAAAAATCAAACCAAACAAACAACAAAAAATGAACCAAAACAAAACAATAATAAAAAACAAACAAACAAAAACAAAACTATTCAAATGTGTTAAACACACACACACACAAAAACAAAACACAACGGCAAAACGAAATCAAACCAAAACAAACCAAATGAAAAAAATGAAGCAAAACAATTAAAAAAAAAAATCACAAAAAAATTATATGAAACCATTCAAAGCTGCTGAAAATATTTGTTTAAATACTGTGCAAGGCATAAAATATCAAAGAAACAGATGTTATGAGAAACCACACATGCATATACTTACTTATTTTATAATATGTAAAATAATTGACCACAGAACATTTACAGAAATCCTAATCTCCTTTTACATGTCGTGAAGGGAAATGTTTAGGAGCTTTTGGGAATCCTTTTGGGAATTATGTGTGAGCTTTGTACACTCTGGTATGCAACCTTACTTTCTACAGTTAGTGAAATGTGGCAGAAATAATAATGTAAGCAGATATTCATCTTTGCCATGCTAGAAACACAAAACATTATATTTTTTGTTGCAGAGTACAGAAAAGACACTGGACTCAAACAGCACTCACTGTAAATGTAAGGGTAACTAACTGTAAACTAACAATCCGCAGGTCGACATGGAAATGTAATAAAATCTCAGTGCAACAAAATAGAGTTTAAATATTAAGGAGCTGCTTAGTCACACTGTACTTTGGCTACTTTTACACTCAGGTTAAAGGTAAAGGTGTCATTTTCTGTGCCACTAGCATGGAAGTAAAATAATGACAAATGTCTTTGAAACAAAAAAGCATGTTGAATTGCACTAACTGAAAAAATAATGCATTGTATTAACAGTGCTTGCATTTTTATGCCTTGTATTTTCAGGACTTGCATTTTTAGGGGCTGAAATTTAACATAGTTGTTTATTTAAGCTGTCAATATTTCAATTCAAAACATTTCACACACGGTTTCATAATTAAAAATTCAATAATTCATATTCACCTTCTAGAGTTCACTTCCAAAATATTCAATCTGTTTAAAAATACGATGTATAATATTCGAAAGGCAAATTTCAGTCAATTTTTTTTTCACTTTACAAATTTGCTTCCACTAATTCAGTGGTTCAAACTCGGCAGAAAATTCAGCATTGCACATCCGGGAACTGCAGGAATAGCCGTAGAGTACTGATGCATGATCTGTTTACATTTAATTCAGCATCTTCACTGTTACTTGTTTCCCTGTAAAGCCACATGTAAGCAGCTTTCTCTACCAAAGGAGATAATAATGCTATTTTACCCGACGCTGATATACACAACTAACATTACATCTTAAGATATTGATGTCGGTTGCTTAGTTTCCTTAACTTTATATCATGGCTTGCTGAGTTGTAATACTGGGGTTTCCCTCTGACATCACATTCCAGGATTCCCCAACAACATGAAAAATGCTTAAGGTGCCTCAGTGAATTATTACAGCGATATAAAAGACCTCATATCTCAGTATACGATTTATTGATGATGCAAACTATACAGGCAAGCAGATGAAACCAGAATACTGCACGTTAAACATTTACCATAAATAAAACACTTAACGTGCCTCATAATAACCCTTACGAAAATTAACCTTGGTTTTATTGTAGTAAAAGTGTAGTAACCATGTTTTTTTGGCGTATTGATTACCATTTGTATAACCACAGTTTTACTACAAATACCATGGTTAAACTATGGTTAGTGTAGCAATACCATGGTCAATTTGTGGTTTCCATGGTTTAACTATAGTAACCATGGTTTTTTGGTTTTATTTGTGGTAAAACCATGGTTGATTTTCATAAGGGAAATGACCAAATTTGGTGTCTAATTAATCAAATATACTATATACAAGCAGATGAGTCCAGAATATTAACACAAACCACAGTTTCACCTAAGCCTTTTTCTCCCATAGAAAACCAAGCAAGTTCAGCAAAATGGGGCTTTTCATGTTCCGAATGTTATAGTATGTTTCTAGTGACCAGACTGACTTACTACAGTTGACATTTCCTTACTGTACATACAGTACATAATTATTCTTTAAAAAAAACATTGGATGTTTTAACCTTGTGAGTGGATTGTCAGACAGTCCCTTGGGCACTGTGCGATAGCACGACTTCTCAGGTTAAAATGTGCAGCTACAATACACATAGGCGGTTTTGAATAATTTTTTTATGTCAATATAAAGTGGTTGCATATTGTTACAACTAATCGTGGTAGTGATATCTTTGTAGGACTGTCAACTCTATAGAACAGTGGCAAGAGAAAGCGAATGTCCAGCAAATATCGAACCTAAAAGGAACTTTACGGCGCTAGAAAGCGATTATAAAGAAAATGCAGAGCATTGCGTTCTTCTGACCTCATCTGCTTGCCTGTGTATAGTTTGCATCATCAATAAGGTGTATACTGAGATCTAAGGTCTTTTATATCGCTGTAATAGTTCACTGAGGCAAGTTAAGCATTTTTCATGTTGTTGGGGAATCCTGGAGTGTGATGTCAGAGGGAAACCCCAGTATTACAACTCAGCATCACACAAGCCATGATATAAAGTTTGAACCACTGAATTAGTGGAAGCGAATTTGTAACGTGAAATAAAATGGACTGAAAATTGCCTTTCGAATATCATACATTTTATTTTTAAACAGATTGAATATTTTGGAAGAGAACTCTGGAAGGTGAATATGAATTATTGAATTTTTAATTATGAAAATATGTGTGAAATGTTTTGAATTTAAATATTGACAGCTTAAATAAACAACTACGTTAAATTTCAGCCCATAAAAATGCAAGCACTGTTAATACAATGCATTATATTTTCAGTTAGTGCAATTCAACATGCTTTTTTTGTTTCAACACATATTTGTCATTATTTTACTTCCATACATTAGTAGCACCAAAGAAAATGGGGGAAATATATATATACATTAAAAAAACTAAATTTTTCATAAAATGAAAAAAATAAATAAATTTTTATTTTATTCATTATTTAAATAAACTCAGATTTTTTGTGTCAATTATTAAATTATAAAGTAATTGCATAATTAACACATAAGCAATCAGCACATTGTCCAGGCAGTAACTGGAACGAACTGCGTAAACAACATTTTTATGGCTTGGCATTTTTATGGTTTTCCAGCTTCCTTTCTTCACTAAAGCTGTGTGCAATCTGGTTGCCCTCTCTGAGTGACACATACAAACTTGGGCCTTCGTTCACATTAACTTGCTAAAGCATAAAAGGCTTGGTGGAAAAAAAGATAGCATCTAATGGCCCATCTACATCAAAGCAATTAAGCATATGAAAGCCTTTCTGGCTGACAGCATCCTTTGCACAATCAGCCTCTGCCAGAAAGACCATGGACACAATAGTGAAGGCTACCCAAAACCATGGACAAATGCTAGCTCATCATCGTAGAGCCATCCGATTAACATTAGTGTGAAGGAGTCAATAGCTGTCAGCACAACTCTATTGTAAAACTGAGACAGCTGCAGCTTCCAAAGCGGTCACATCATATGATTCAAGAACAGTGACAAGAAGGATGAGAAGCATGAAGATCTGTCTTATGATCTTATAACTATTTGTTACTGGCCACTGCCATACACCAACATTTCAAACTAGTTTATTTTAGTCTGTTATTTAATTACACACACACACACACACGGATTTAAAGTAATCATTTAAATAGATGTTTGATATAAAGTATTGCATAAGGTAATAACATAGTAGCAAATTTCACCTCATTTATAAGCATATTTATTTTGCAATCCTACTATAACTATGCATGATTATATGGTTGTTTGCATTTTATTATTTACATTTACCATTGTCTTTTTTTCCCTAGGGTTCCTATCATAGATCTGTGATCCATTTTTGGGTCACAAACCACAGATCTACAGGACAGTCCAGATGCGAAAAAGCACAAAAAGAGCATACAAAACTCTTACAACATCTCATAAACCTGAAGCAGCATCATGCATGGCTTTGAATCACCTATACACTCTATTACTAAGTCAAAGATTCATCAGGTTTTTTTCTAAACAGGGAGGCTTCAGTTGTGATAATATCACTTATCGCAATTATTTCTGGGGCAATATATCGCACAACAAAAAGTTGTTATCGTGACAGGCCTATGTGTAACAAACTATTAATAAGTCTAGTCTACTTTTATGGGCAGCAACATTTTGGCGGTCCCAGTCTGACCTTTTGCTGCTTTCCAGTACTGCAGTGCTCGAGGGCAATGAGCGCACACACACACACACACACACACAGGCTCTAAAAATAGACCAGACACTCCCAACCTCCTAATACACAGCTAATGTTCTGTTTAAGCCAATATAATGATTTGGAAAATTGAATCATCATAAGATAGTATCATGCACCAACATTCTGGAAAAAAAATCAAAAGATTGAGAAAGATGATACTTCTTTGTTTTTTTACAATTATGAATAAATTATAATAAATAAATGATGAATATTAATTAGTTATGTAAGGTCTGCCCAGAAGTCCTAAATGATTTGCTGAAAGTAGCCTCTAGCCATATTAGGATTACTGTTCACCACTTCCACTTTCGTTGAGTCCACTGTCAATGCAGCCAGTTCCATGACAGTTGACATGTGGACAGTAGGCAGCGAGGTAACTTGTTAACTTGCTAAGACGCAGAGCTTATAGCACAATGCCTCAAATGACAATGGCGCCATAATAGGGTATAAAATTTGACAGAAAAAAAATCTGCAACAGAGCAGGATGTTTATCTGAGGAGCTGTGATAAAAAATGTAGAAAGATGTAACCCTGTAAAATAGGGATGCTGTGAAAATTATTTCTCAGTTACTTACGAAGAAAGTGCTTTTCCAGTAAGGCTATCTCCAGGTGACCTTTGACCTCATTGAGTCGGTCGGCATCACTCATCTTGTAGTCCTGGATGGGAGCAGCAGACATGGTAAGAGTCCCTGAACCAGCCTGGAAACAACCAGTAAGAGAAAATATGAGAAGCTTAGAAGTTCATAAAGGTTCACAGCAATGACAACATTAAATAGCTGTTAAGGTTCAAATGATCGTCTAATGAACATTCTCTTTAATTGAACAATACAGAATATGGCCACATTACAGTCTAATAAATGGGCATCCATTAGCACCAGTGGCTCCAGCCTGCCAGAGACATTACAGCATCGTCTTCATAGACCTTCAGCATAACCAGGATTCGACAAATCACGGCTCTAGTCACCAACCGGATGCCAGTGCGGCAGCTGTAACCATGGTGACTAGCTCATGAGCTCACAGAGACACAGCAGATCTCTTAGGTGAGCTTGCCTGTACTTATCAAATTATATGCAGCAAATGCAATTTCTTTGAAAATGTGCTTGGACGAGGCCGCCCAATATAAAAGCCCTTAATAACATCATTTTGTCAGAAATTGGTTTCCAATCAGTTCTTTTCGTGTAATATGTCATGCAAAACAGAATCAGAAATCAGAAAATCAGAAACAAAAGGCCACAGGAAAAGATACTGTAGCTTTACAAAGATTGTTTTTAAGACTAGGGCCTGTGAAGTCTGTGGATGTGAACGATGGAGGGCAGTCTCAGCTGCAACAACAGGAAGACGCCATTTATACAGAGAGAAATACAGTGAAGCAAATGGATGTTTGGGCTGAAACTCCTTTGGGAATTTGGCTGTCTGCCTCTTCATGCAATGCAGAGAAACGAAACTAAATGCAGGCTGGAAGCAAGTGACGGGAATACATTTTTTTTTTTAATTACTACTACTATTATTAATAATGTTAAGCAGTATCTGCTCATAAAACTCAAACAAATATTTGATTGATATTCAGTTAAATACATTTAACTAACACTTGTCTATATAAACCCCAGTAAAAATGTATTAAATTAAAATTAGTTATGCATTTACAGTCTATGGCCAAGTCTATAGGTAACTAATTGCATGGGAGCCAACAGATTTCCACTGTAATGCATGAGCTCCCACTGCAAGCGAATTCTGTCAAAAAATGTATTAATGAATAAAACAAATGTTAAAATGTAAAACCACACTCACAACCCACTTTACTTGTGGAACATGACATTTCCATCAGGACATTCAAAAGAAAAAATTAAGAGCGAGACTTTTATTTTGGCGATTTTACCAATCTAGGATTGATTGGATGGTGAAAAGTGGGTGTTACATACCAGAATAAGCAGATCTGAATTAGTGATGGGAAGATTGATCATTTTACTGACTTGGATCTCTGAATCTTGAAATAGCAAAATGAATGAATCCCCTGTTTCCTGTACAGAGACTATGTGGTTTTCACGTTCATTACAAACAAACATGTAAACTCTGGCCAACACAAAATGATCACTCTCGAGACAACTCGCTATTCCCGAGTCAGATAAAAGATTAGTTAAATGAACAAATTGTTCATGATCAACCCATCACTAACCTGAATCTGTTGGCTAAAACAACAGCTAAACAGCTGTTTGGATACTGGATAATGTCCAGTGGTGTGCATGGCCTAAATGACATCAGCGGCAAAGAAAAGTCATTTTAAAGGACAAGCAACTTATTATATTCTGATTAAAGATTAAGACGACATTTTTGCTTTGAAATAATATGTACCGATGAATTATTCAAAATAAGACCAGGAATGGAAATTAAGAACTAAATGAAGTCAATTTTGATTTCTTTCTTAATGGCTTTCTATGACTATTTTGAAATCTTCAAAATAGAGGTCAGCACAATTTTTCACAATCATATCACATCTCAAAATTTTTCTACAGAGACAAACAAAAACACATTTTTAAAAACAAAATGCATTCAGCGCATTCTGACAGATTCTCTCTTCACATTCACACAGAGGAAAAAACGTAACTTACAGGGTCTTGCTGCTCTTCCGTTTCTTTGATGGAGCTCCGGTGTTTCACTGGGATGTCATCATTACATTCGCTGTCAGATGCAGTGGGGGACTCGGCAAGGTCCAGGAACTCATCTCGCTTCGGTCCTCTGAACCTTATCTTATCCAATCGCTTTAGCATGTTCAACACAGAGATCTGTGTCTTTATCTTAACATGGCGGGTGGCAACCCTGTAAGGACAAAAGTGAAAGTCATCGTGTTGACTTGAAACTGTGCAGCAATGAAGAAATGTTGCATAATTGCACAATACATCTTGATAAATATCATTATCATTTAGACCAAGTTCTGGGCCCGTATTTATCAAGCTTCTCAAAGTGCTATTTTAGTCTTAAGTGCTGAGAATTCATTAAATTTTCTCCTACTTTCAAACTTAAAGGGTTAGTTCACCCAAAAATGAAAATTAGCCCATAAATTACCGTATTGGCCCGAATATACGACGACCCTGATTATAAGACGACCCCCTCTTTTTCCAGATGTACCTTTTGGAAAAAGGCTTTTTAAAAACCAAATCTTGTTTTTTCTCAGTAAAACACATTTTGTCTTCAATTATTTTCATATTGCATATTTTTCCTATTTTAATTTTTGTTTTGAAAGTATGGTAAAAACTGGTAAAATGTACCAACAATCACATTTAAAAAATATACACTTTTTGATATACCATAAAAATAAAAAAAAAAAACAAGTAGCCCATCTGAATTAGGACATTTAGCCTATCCATCTAATAGTAGCCTACCAAAATCTTATGAACAGTAGAAGTTAAATCTTACTGTGGTGAGTCTCGTGAAAACCAACGTTTGTTAACAGGAGCAAAGGAAGCAAAGTTTCCTTACTTTAGCAAAGGAAAACTAGTCTGCTCTTGACTAATATCGAAATCCTCCAACATTCTTCTTTACAAATCCTCGTTTTGTACTTTTAATTCGTGACCATTGTTTTGTTTTGATCTCTCCCCTGTGCTTCCGCGTGCGTCACTTCTGAGCCGACCTCCATACATCATCCCCCCCCTCCCCTGGAGCCGTGTGAGGCACTTTTTATTATGGATGCGCTTTATTTCACTTCTTTTGGACTGATGCATGCAACACCCGCTGACTGCCATTAAACAGCTTGGAAAATCAAAGTAAATTTTTAATATAACTCTGATTGGATTAATCTGAAAGAAGGAAGTCATATACGCCTAGGATGGCTTGAGGGTGAGTAAATAATGGGCTAATTTTCATTTTTGGGTGAACTATCCCTTTAAGTCAATTCTTAGCAGCGTTCTTGAGAGTAATTCTCAGAGGCTTGATAAATACAGGCCCTGGTTTTTCATTTCTTAATTGCACATGTTGAATACGAAAAGTACCATCAAATTAATATTCACACACTTTTAAAGGCAAAAGCATACTTCATTTTGTACGCTATCTTATTGTGCAAGTGAAACCCAGCAGTGGAGTAAGACAAAGCCAGTCATTCTTGGCGAAAGAAGTCGGCTCAGGAATAATGTGCAACTGACAGTCTCTCGCTTGCACAATAATAGTCTCTCTGCACCGGGTATTGAGGACTGTGAACTGTAGAGATAATAATGGGCGGCTTGAACTTTCTGTGAGAAATTGCTACAATCTCAAAGAGATCAGCTGATGTCGGACTAGTGTGGCACAGGATCCTGTTCTGTACAGTATGTGGGTCAGAGGTAGAGGCCCCATGATCCTCGTGAACATTTCGGCTCATAGCAAGAACCCTGTACATAGTTGATCGTGAAGGTTTGATGCATGAGGAAAACCAGACATTTTTCAAATCTTCTCCGGTTTAAATGTAATTGTTACTCACCTCTATGTCGTTCCAAATTTGTATGACTTCCAATTTCTGAAATGATCATTTAGGTTGGTTTTATGAACTGGATTAACTGATTCTTTGAAAAGATTTGACTTAAAAGAATCTGTAAATATTGTACATATAGGTTGATATTGGATATTTAATTGTATAAGCTCATTTTCACTATTTTTACTTTGAAAGTACCTTTGCTGTCATCCAACATTCACTGAAAAGTAATCTTTAAAAACACTAATACTTTAATAATGCTGTTAAATGTAATTTTTGTCAAGTTTCAAAATGACTTTTACATACTGTACATTATAACATTGTGATGCGTAAATTCACTTGTAGCATTTATAATGATTAATTTTCATTTGAAGTGTTTTATTTTTTATTTATTTAGACAAATGGTGTCCATTAGCATAAAAACCATTTATCCATTATCACCAATAACATGAAGAAAATGATTGGCTTGTTGATATTGTCCATAATTTTAATGTGCATCGCTATATCAATTTAATAATCCTCACCAGTGTTATTTTAGTATTATTTATATAATATTATAGTATTTATTAATATTTTTAAATAAACTTTTATTTTTATATGTTTGGTTTTAATTTTACTTTAAGTAATTTTGTTCTGTGCTTTTGTCATTTTTATTAGTTTTTGTTTTGTAAATATTTATCTTTAAATTTATATTGATCAGTTTTAGTATTTTTAAGTAATTGCTATGGAAACATTTATCTTTTTTAATTTTTTAATGTTTTTTTATTTTTAAAACATATCATATAATAAACATTTGAATAGTTTTAGTTAACAATAACTCGGTTCCTCACACAAAGCTAACTTACGGTTTTAGAAGAAAGCACCAGTTTTAAAAACCACATTTAAAATACTTTTATGGTGCTTTTGCATCCTTTTTGAATATTATTGATTGTAATTATTTGGAAATAAGAAGCCAGTACATTCTTCAAACTGTTTCCTTTGTGTTCCACTAAAGAAAGTTAATGAATAGTCATATAGAAAGTGAAATTTGTTAATAATGACTGTCCTTTTAATTCTAATATGTGCTCAATGGAAACAGCACATTCGGCTGTTAAACTCGTGGAAAGATGCAGGTCATGAACTATTGTGCTCTTCCTCAGGCAACGTCTTGAATGTCTTTGTACATCTAAAAAAACTTCCCTGAGAATGCTGAGGCTAAAACACTAACACAGCTTTGCAACATGTGGATTATTTTTTGGATTTCATTTTCGGATTATATATCCAAAAAAACTCTCCAGGAACCAAAGGCCCACGGTGTTGTACAAAATAATGCTATTGGTGTTCCAATCTCTGCATTCCCTGCAGTTAGTTGACCTTACAGCAAACAAAGCAGGCCTGGGAACAAAGCGTCCGAATGCGTGCCTAGACACTCAAAACCTCCAACCCAGTTCTAATTTCACTTCCAGAGCTCAGACAACATGCTGTACATGATAATGACAGGACTGAGGTTTAACGCCAGCCGTCTTGTTCTTAAGTAACCTGAGTTTGGCATCCCGTGAATTACAAAGGGACTTTTTTGACAATAAGCAGACGTTTCATGCAGCTTTCACAAGGGAAAGGGAAATAGCTTGAGTGGATGATATTTATCACCCATGTCTAGATTTGTCAGACTTACCATGTTTTAACTCATTAAAACACACCATTTTATGAGAAATTATTACAGGGTTATAAATATCAAAACTAATCATGTCCTCTTGCTACAAAAGTTTTGCTTGGGAAAATGAACTACAGTAAATACTACAGTAAATCAGGCCTACAGTACAATAAAAACATCCTTTTCTCACTTATGTTCAATAGTGTAGAAAAATAACTTCTTTAAAGCAAAATAACATGATCTTAAGAGAACCAGGTTTGAATGCACACTTTATAGAAGAATACTTTATTTGAAATGTCATAAGGGTGAATAAACAATGACATGTTTGTGATGGTTTTCATTTGAGGCAGTGTTATTTTAGTATTATTTATATACTGTTAGATAGACACTAGTATCATATTTATTAATATAGGCCTATTGAATTAATGTTTATTATTATTATTATTTCAGTTTTCATTTTAATTTTAAATACAGTTTTAGTAACTTTAAATATCTGTTGCCCCCTCAGTTAGACTCATAAAAAAAATGATCTAGGACAAAGGATTCCCACTGAAGGCCAAATACACACAAGTGGTTGAGCAAGTTTGATTTGTTCAGGGTGGAGCATGATTTTAACTTTCCAAATCCTCACTATTCTGCACATGAAGCACAAGAGTCTGGGGCTCTACCAGCTATCAATCTACAATAAAGTTTAAGTGGGGGCGGGGGATTTTTAGCATCTCTTTGAAATGATCGCTCATCCAAAAGTTTACATTCCATCATCATTTACACCAACGTCATTCCCAACCTGACTTTCTTCTGTGGAACATAAATAGTTCATGCAATAGAAGTCAATGGCCACCAAAAACTATTTGATAACGTTTTTCAAAACATCATATTTTGTTTTTGCAGTTAATTTTTTTTAAACTATCCCTTTAACCAACAAGTGGAGCAACAGGGATTCCCTCTCAAAGCATTCTGTAATCACTCCTCTCATGATCCACTCCATGTTTTAGATCTCACACTCCTTCACACTACTGAGAGAAACCCACTCAGAGCAAGATAGATAATATTAATGTTCTAAATTTAAAAATCTGCTCAAGCAATCAAATTTTAGGACTGGAATGATGTTGTACGGTTTCTTAGTCAGTGTCCATCACATAATCATCCAACAATCCAGCCAATAAAAATGTGTTCTAAGAACACCTTGCTAATGTTCTTATTAAGTTATGAAAACATTTTTTTCTGAATTCTGGGAATGCTAACTAATAAGTGGCAATGTTTAAAAAATGTTAAGCCCAAAGTATACTTTGGTTTTTAGGGTATGCATACAGTGCGCACAACGCAAATGTCATCATTAGCATAATACACACATACAGTAAGTGTGCAGTCAGATTTTCCTTGCCACGCATACAATGTATGCTCAGCTTGCATATGCGCCTTGAGTTTTTTTTAAACTGATTAGTTTGTCCATAAGTTGGCAACATTGCCTGTTGTATCGCTGTGGGAAAAAATTATGAGACAACAACAACAAACTATTGGAGATGGTAACAAAAACAGATGGCTCCGCTGACGAGTACTTGTGACGAGTTAAGATACTCGCATCTCTAGTTTAAACCAGTACAAAAATATATTTATCAGTGATTTCTGGAGAGGTATATTGCAGACACTGAACAAGGACGAAACTTTCTAGTGCACATGTATCGAGGGCCTGTGCTCACTGCTCACGTCCATCAAATGGAGTAGCCTGTACTTTGCCCCTGTCCCAAATGGCACCCTAAACCCTCACGGTCTTCCTCTTAATGCCGTAATGCCGCTTTGGGTAGAAGTATGCTGTGGAGTTCGCCTCATTGGCCCTGTCCCAAATGGCACACTTCATGTGAATTTGCGGTCTTGCGGACTTACAATGGCTGCCCCATGCGTGTGTCTGTTAAGTCCACGAGGCCATAGGGTATCCCATTAATCATTTTAGCTTTCAGAAAGGTGCTCACGAGCGCCCCCTTTGCGGCCGCTATGTGCCCTCAATGCGCACTTCTGCCGAGCCTGCACTGGGGCGAGACCTGCAGCAGACTTCTACCGAACAGTTAGGGCTGCACGATTAATCAAAATTAAATCACAAAGGTGATAAATCACGATTAGGCAGAAGCTGCGATTGTCATGCGTATCTTTCAGTGAAGCACGGTTCTGTGATCAGCAGTAAATCTCCATCCGAAGGCCAGAGGGCGCTCTCGCGCTGAAACTCCAAATACGCCTCGCAGAAGAAACCCAGGAAATCCCTATAGCGGTTGCTGAATAAACAGAAGATTTAACTGCTTTCATTAATTCAACGTGACTAATAAACACACGACTACGACAATATATGGTTTATCTGAGTTTGTCTTATTATAATTTTTATTATAATAAAGTATATAATAATGCAATGCTAATCGACATAGCCTTTATCACTGCTTAGAATACTATGAAATATGTTGCGTGCCTTATTCTGTTTTAAGAAGCCACATCATCTCACAGAAAGATACATTTCAAACACTCGACTGACGTTATGAAGGGAGTTTGTAAAAACATGTTATTAAAGTGAGTAAAGTGGCTCTGTGTAGTAAATGCCGCTCCATCTGAAAGCACGTGATGGAGATTTACTACTGATCACAGAACCGGCTTTACTGACAAGATGCGCATGACAATCGCATTCGATTAATCGTGCAGCCCTACCAACAGTCAAAGTGGCATTACGTCACGAAAGTGCGGACTCAGAGGAAGACCGCGAGGTTTTAGGGTGCGATTTGGGAGAGGGCCATCGTGGGCTTGGCAGAAGTGCGCATCTAGGTCGCATAGTGGCCATAAAGGGGGCGCTCGTGAGCATTCTTCTAAAAGCTAATAGGATGGATGTGAACTTAACGGACACGGTGGCCATCGTAAAGGCCCAGGTATACTTCATTTTCTGCATTCCGCTTTGTCTTGTGTGCAGCCATGTCTGCACAGCTTTCAAAGTATACTCAACCGTGGATGGTCAAGTTCGACACATGTGCAGTACCACCTAGTGGCCTCTTCTCTGTTTCCAACATTCACCTTGAACCAGCTGTTGCATGCACACCGCCTGCACAAACACAAACATTTGGCTGCATGTGTAAGGTGTAAATGGACATCCACGGACCCTCCTGACGACGAAGATTACGTCATGCAGAAGGCAGACGGCCTAAGTATACTTCGGGCTTAAGTCCACAAGTGCACTAGAAGTGTGCAATTTGGGACAGGGCTATGCGTTCAGCTGTACGCATGTGCTAAGCGTTCTCATCAAAGCTGAAGTATACTTTGGGCTTTAGAGAAATGTCCCAACTAAAATGTTTCAATGTTCAACGAACAACGTATAAATGTTTGTGCTAACGTTCTCAGAACGTTATTAAAGACCAGATCAATTTGAAACAACGTTCTATTAACGTCACTGGAATAAGTAACTTTGAGAGAATTTTGCTAGAACACTAGCCAAAGTTCTGAGAACGTCCCTGGGAATGTATAATTAACAGATATGCTTTACATAAGAAAAAACAACATTGTTTGATTCTGCTTTATTCTATTAAAAGCGCAATTCTATTGTAACGCAGAGCCTAATTCTATATTAACACTCATTACAATTACATCATAGGTAAACACTAACTCTTTTCTCAGTACCGACGCCACCGAGCGACTCCCCTTTCACTCTCCCCGACTCTGACAATGAGTTTAGCGGTCAGGCTGCTCGTCTGTGCGCCCTTCGACCACATCCTCCGACACCGGCATTGTGTTAGACATCTCCATTCCCCCATACTCTCTCCAAACACCATCCGCCCCTATTGTCATACCCTCTGCAGCCTGTTATCTATCAGCAATGTTTTGCGCATTAAAACATTATATTTCGTGTATTGCAGTCTGTAGTTACATAATATCAACAAGCATTACGGTTAACACAAAAGCATGTTTTATTCCCACGCTGCTCCAAGGTTTTGCATCTTCATCACCTCACCGTGTAGTTCAAGTTGGACCTCATCAATAAAACATTTAGGGTTGACAGAGTTGCACCATCAATAAATTGCCGATTAATGCCTTGACCTAAAAGCCTTTCGTCTCTAGATCGATGCCGTGTAGAATGGCGGCTTTCGTGCGTGTGCAAAATATTTAAAATCGTTTTCTTACCTCGTCTTGAGGCTAAGGGATGGTTGTCACATTAAGCCGCAAAATATATTAATTTAAACATATGTACAGAAAACGTGCTGCAGCTGTGCGAAACTACAAACATGTGGCACATTCGCACGAGTGTCGCGCGCGCTGAAATGAGTTTGAGGATTCGAATGCAACAATTGTAACAAAAGCTTCTTCAGCCCGACACATTGTAACACGCGCCCCGCCCGCCGCGGGATTAACAACCAGAAAGGGGAATAAAGTTTCTTACCCACCTTGCACGGAATTCGTAATTAAGTTTCATTAACAGGAAGGCATGGATATTCCGAGCTTCGCCCCGCTCCGTCGCCACCTGCTACCAGTTCGATGAAAACCCCGGCGTAAAATGCCCGAGCGGACACATTTATCTACCGAGGCGATTCCCCGAGCTGTCAGATGCTATTCCCAGCGTTATTGCGGATTAGAATCGCATGCAAACGGCAAACAATCATTTGGGGGTTCGTTTCAGTCTGTTGTTGATATCCAGCAAGACTCACTTCACACCAGGAAATTTCGTCAATGACAGCGACAGACGCTCTTAAAGGGGCCGTTAACTGACAGTCGTCTCTAATCAGATAGAAACGCTCTCAAATCTTCCTTCTTCGTGAATAAACTAAAATGCCCTCAAATTAGTGTATGCATTTTAAATGTTAAACAACAATACAGGGCATAGTGTGTCTTAACAAGTGAGATGGACATTAATCCCATAACTCTGTCAATCCAAGTTTACAGTTTATGCGTCATATACGCACACGAGGGTGAAAACAAACGCGAGGGTGTATGATTTATCTCTAATTCTTTTGAAGTTGACTTGTTTGTACGTGAACATACGCCTTTAAGTCTAGACGGCTATGTGACAGGTCTGGTTTGACTCGTTTTGGGGTGTTTGCACTCGCTGGATGATTGTGTGTCCACTAGGTGGCGCGCAATGACAGATGATTGTGTTCACTTTTAAACAGCTAAATTGTCACAAATAACACATTTTATGTTTTAATTACACATTCTATTTAAATGTAAATATTTTATATTTAAATTCTTTATTTTAGCCTTCATTACGCAATACTAGCAAAACATTACAAAATAGTACAAAGTACATTACTATTATTTATTTATTTATTTGCACATGACATGATTTTTAAACATGTTGCCATAATTATATGATTTTATCATAAGTAATCATGTAAATACTATGTAATTTCAGTCTGGTAATCATTCAGTATCATGGTAGATGGGGTAGATTGGGTTAAAACTATTTATTTTTTAAAATGTTGTTCACTTAAATTGACTCATTCACTATTATTAATTAAACAACAATACAGGGCATAGTGTGTCTTAACAAGTGAGATGGACATTAATCCCATAACTCTGTCAATCCAAGTTTACAGTTTATGCGTCATATACGCACACGAGGGTGAAAACAAACGCGAGGGTGTATGATTTATCTCTAATTCTTTTGAAGTTGACTTGTTTGTACGTGAACATACGCCTTTAAGTCTAGACGGCTATGTGACAGGTCTGGTTTGACTCGTTTTGGGGTGTTTGCACTCGCTGGATGATTGTGTGTCCACTAGGTGGCGCGCAATGACAGATGATTGTGTTCACTTTTAAACAGCTAAATTGTCACAAATAACAGATTTTATGTTTTAATAACACATTCTATTTAAATGTAAATATTTTATATTTAAATTCTTTATTTTAGCCTTCATTACACAATACTAGCAAAACATCACAAAATAGTACAAAGTACATTACTATTATTTATTTATTTATTTGCACATGACATGATTTTTAAACATGTTGCCATAATTATATGATTTTATCATAAGTAATCATGTAAATACTATGTAATTTCAGTCTGGTAATCATTCAGTATCATGGTAGATGGGGTAGATTGGGTTAAAACTATTTATTTTTTAAAATGTTGTTCACTTAAATTGACTCATTCACTATTATTAAAAAGTTTGGTGATGGCAAGATTTTTTTTAATGTTTTACTTACCAAGGCTCCATTTATTAAAAAAAGAAAGAAAGGAAAAAAAAACTATAAAAACTGAAATATTGAGAAATATTATTACACAGATTTAATATAACTGTTTTCTATTTTAATATATTTTGAAATTTAATTTATTCTTGTGATGGCAAAGCTGATTTTTTAAAATCACTCCAGTCTTCAGTTTCACATGATCCTTTAGAAATATGCTTATTTGCTGCTCAAGAAATGTTTCTTATTATTATCAATGTTAATATCAGTTGTGCTGCTTAATATTTTTGTGGAAACAGATACATTTTTTAAAGATTCTTTGATGAATACAAGGTAAATACACATTATATTATTGTCATTAATATAATGTTTCCTTGTTGAATAAAAGTATCAATTTCTTTAAAAAAACTTTTAAACTTTTGACTGGTAGTGTATATTGAAGGAATTTCATGATAGCAAAATAATATCAAAAATACTGCAATATTACAAGTCATTTTTGTGAGGGAAAAAGATACAAGATCCTACAGAATTTGCAATTAAGTCTTTTAAATTCATTTATTTACAATTTTCAAATGTATTATCAGTGCGAATAGTATATAAATACCTTATTTTACATGCTGGTATCTAACATCTACAAGCTTTGACAAGTAATGGAGGTATTTCATGGATACACATTTAATCTATGTCATATTGGTAATGTGTGTTCACTGGAGGACTACCAATCAATAAATGCTTCTAAACTATTACAGATTACATTGTTGCTGACCTGACATCACTTTCACATAGTTTGACCTTTAACATGAGTAAAGACAAAAGAACGGCTCCCTGAATGTCTCAGTCTATACTATTTACACAAGAGGTTTGGCAGAGCTATAAAACAGTCGACAGGCACTTTAGGAATCTTTTGATTCTCTGTTGGTAATTTAGATGCAGAGCAAACCTAACAAAATACTCTTTTTCTATGTACAGCACTGGCAGAGACTTTAAGGCATGCTGAACATAAGCTGTAAAATACTGTCAGAGGTAATCACTGTAAAAACACAACTGCCCATTGAACCCAATGACAAACAATCTGTACGATGGACATCTTCATACTAATAATTCATCTGAAACATAACTGGGGGAAAGAAAACTCAGTCGTTTGGGGCAAAAATAAAAAATAAAACATCAAATTAAGCTACAACTTTTCAAAAATGCACAGTATAAAAAAACAATATAAACATTCAAAACAGTGCTGTAAAAAATACCACAGTAAACATAAATATTCAGTATTGGCATCACAATGAAATCCTAATTTACAATTTTACAAATAACCCTATTACACATCTAAAATACAAAATGTAACTATAAACATTACTTACACATCATAAGTCATCCGTTTATGACTGATGAATTCTGGCATAAACTGTACAAAAGCTAATTAATATCAAAGTCTTTTACTGTAACTCCAGATCAGCTTTATCCATTTCGACGTCAGAAAACTTTTCTGTCCTCATCCAGCTCAACTTGGACAATGTAGCACTTTGGAATGCTGGGATAGCTAGTGCCCAGCTTCCATTTGTATTAAATTAACCTTTATAAATACTAAAAAACAACTTCAGAGCAGGACCATGTTGTGCTTTAATACTAAAGGGGACACAGAAACTGGTTTAAATCCATTCCAGTTGATTCAGCGTCCTTCAAGGTGAAGGCTCAGATTGATGTTTCATTGCTGCCACTAACAAGAGAAAGACAGAGGTGTTACAATCCGAACGTGACCAAATAAATTGTAAAGATCAGCATTTGACATCCAACTCACTCAGAATCGAAGTCTTCGTCCGCCAGGGTGACGGGGCTCGTGCCCAGCTCCACGGCGATCCCGTTCAGTGCAGACTGGGGTGGTAATGGAGGTGGTTTGATGATGATGCTGTTGGCTTCGGTTCCTGAGCGAACCCCCTCGTTTGACCCCACCGATGGAGTCTTTCGGGGGGTCTGGG